TATTTTCTTAACTGTAGGACAATCAATGTAAGTATACTCAAACAAGAAGAAAAAATTTAGATATAAATATATTATCATATAAAATCAAATTACTAATTAAATTTCTATTTCTAGTCTCAAACTAAAAAAGAAAGAAACTCTCCTTTAAATTTTCTTTAACAGGTGGGGAGTGAGCAAAAGGAGAAAAATCTAGCTTTTGTTGACGGCTTCAGATTCCTAGTACAGTTAAAACATAAAGAAAAATAGATAGGCGAATTAACAATGGTCTTGCATTGAGTAGTCATAAAAAAGCTAACGGGGAAAAAAACCTGGAGCCTCCAGTCCGAGAACATTTTTTAATTTAAAAAATAGGTATAAATCTCCTTATATTGGCAGTGTAAATTATCAGAGTAAAAAATAAAAATGAAAGTATAATATCTTAGTACATACTAGATATTGGAATTTATTTGTTTGTTTTACAAAAATGAGACAGAAAAAATAAGCATGTCAATTGAGTTATATTAGCAACAATACAGACAGAATACATCAATCAACGATCCCAGTCACATTTTCAATCTCATTTGAGTGTTGGTCCTACATACTCCGGAATAATTTGTGCATATTTACCTCATAGGTGTAACCAAGAGCACTAAAAATAATTCCAAACAACAAAGCGTAACAGAAACTTATAAACTGAAAAACTATCAAGTTGCTTAGTGGATTTCATTGGCATCTGAGAGCACATGCATGAAGTTCACATGAATTAGATTTCCCTGGCTGTTTTCTTCTCACCGTTTTTCAACTGGCACACACATCCAAAAATCATGGAAAATCATATCAGGGAAATAATAGGGGGATAAGAGGATTACTCCAACTCTCTCAACAATTTACTTTAACTGAGTTGTTTAAAAACTCACGTGTAGAGAAGAGATTCACTGGTAGTTTTTTAAATTTGAAAATACTTTCCTAAAGAGTCTGGATATGCACAAATAATAGAATTTTACCAAGAACTTCTATATAGTAACATAATCCAGTGATCACATTATCCTAAGCCCTTATCAATGCAGAAAAATACTTCACACAAGACAATTCATATAATATGAAACTTTACCTATCTACTAATCTATCCATCTGCCTATCTCTTCACTTTAATAATATGAGTCAAACATCATTCTTATTCTGACAACAATTGTAATGTAAATTCATCCTAAAATCAATAAACCAATTTAATATTTATTCATTGTAAGGAAGCAATAGCATAATGATTAAACAACAACTTGATACTTCTCTTGATTAATGACAATTGTGAATTGACAGAAAAACAAGTTTCCAGAAGCTTTAACTAATGTACGAACCAATGTAATTTTCTAGTGGAAGTTACTTTCAATTTTTCAAATTAATACTGACACACATATACAGACATGAACATTTACACACACATATACAGACATGAATATTTAAAACATATAAATAAAAATTTACCTTTTAAATTAAACAAGTCAATTGTTAGCTCAAGAGACTATCACATCCCATAAACAAAGTTATCACCCAGAATGTTACAATAACTAACATTTTTTGACAACTATATGCTTTATATTATTTACTTCTTTTATGCCTCAAATAACTCTGTGGTGTAGAGACCACTATTACCTCCTTTAACGGATGTAGAAACTGAAGCTAAGAGGCATTAAGTATTTAGCTTAAGTTTACACCACTAGCAGTAGAAGTAGTATTAAACACTGGTTTTAAAAAAAAAAAAAAGAAAGAAACAAGAGTCTAAGACTTTTAAAACTACACATTAGATACTTCAGAGCCTTTTAAAGCAGGGGTGTCCAATCTTTTGGCTTCTCTGGGCCACATTGGAAGAATTGTCTTGGACCATACAGAAAATACACTGACACTAAGGATAGCTGATGAACTTTTAAAAAAAAAATCACAAGAAAATCTCATAATGTTTTAAGAAAGGTTACAAATTTATGTTGGGCTGAATTTAAAGCCATCTCTGGGGCCGCATGCAACCTGCAGGCCATGGGGTTGGACAAGCTAGGCCTAAACCTTATACAGTTCGAGGACACCTGTTTCAGGGAAAAAAAAATATCAAAATAACTAATAAAAGGTTGTTAGGTTCCATTCTAGGGCCTTGGAGGAAATCCATGCAAAGGAGGAGTTCTAAAACTTAAGCTTTACTAGCTTTATGGTAAATCCACCGTCATTATACCACATAGTATTCTAAAGTTTTCTTAAGCATTTTTAGAAACAAACATAATTTGTAGTTTTTATTGCTATTACATATATCCCATTCCTTCACAAATTAAAATTTACACTTTATCTGTTTTTATCTATACCTGATTTTTAACAGTTTTTCCATCCTCATTCAATTATTGTCAAGCTTCATGGCTTCCTAAACACATAGAGGAAGATGAAGTTGCTTGTCAACATAGTCTTATTATAAATGCTCCAGAACTCCCTCCGTTGTGTTATTGTAGATGGTGCAGATCACTTAAAATTATACTTGTCAGCTTATCTTGTATTCTCTGCAGAACATCACCTCTGTCTCTGGAAACTCTGGTGGCAGCTGGCACCATCCTTATTATTGCTTAACGAGTCCATGGCCATGTCACTAGTTATCCTTGGTAAAAGAGTGTCAGTATCGGCCGGGCGCGGGGGCTCACGCCTGTAATCCCAGCACTTTGGGAGGCCGAGGCAGGCAGATCACGAGGACAGGAGATCGAGACCATCCTGGCTAACATGGTGAAACCCTGTCTCTACCAAAAATACAAAAATTAACTGGGCGTGGTGGTGGGGGCCTGTAGTCCCAGCTACTTGGGAGGCTGAGACAGGAGACTGGCCTGAACCTGGGAGGCAGAGCTTGCAGTGAGTCTAGATCTTGCCACTGCACCCCAGCCTGGGTGACAGAGCGAGACTCCGAAAAAAAAAAAAAAGAGTGTCAGCATCTTGTCTAAGAGATATGTCGATAAAACCATCCACCATGAGTCCTAAAGTCCTAAGATTTTTAAGTGTTTATATCACGTGCAGAGGTACCATGAATATTGACTCCTCACACTAAGCCACCAAGAAATGTGGTAGATAGTTCCATGTACATATGGAAGTCCTCCAACGGCTTTCTGTAATCCTTTTTATTATCAGCTACAGAATTTTACTATCAATCCAACTTCTTAATCTCATTATTGACTTGCCTTATACAGTTGTCTGCTGATCAGCTACACGTTGGAGGGCATTTTGGCAAATGTTCTTGAGTTTTAGAATTCTCCACAAAAGCACCGAAAATCAATTGCATCTCTTCCAAAAGATTCCACAGTTTTATATTGCAAAAAGCAACACAGCTTTGAAAATATTCCCTGGACAAATAAATATATCAAGTAAAAGAATTATTTCTAGCATTTTTAAACACCAGCTAAAACATTCTACATGAACAAAGTCCTTGAATCTGAACATATCTGTACATATAACTGCAACCAAGAGAAAGTGCACACTCCAAACCTAAACTGGCCTAATTGTATCCCTATTTAAAATAGAATTATGCTAATTTTCTGCTTACATAAGCATGTTTTATGTTAATACTGTAGACATTATTATTTAATAATTTCAAAACTGCTCAGGCTTTAAACACAATATCACAGACCTTCAAGCTGTTAGTTTGTTCCTTATTTGGTTAGTACGTTAACGAAGAAATAAAACACAAACTGATGAAGAAAAAATACATTCCTTTTATAACTTGGCTTAAAATGAACATCTAAGAATTTTCTATTTTAATTATCTTTCGTAAATGATAATAAATGCATTTCATTTGTTTTCTCCATTTACTCAATCATACCAGAAAATAACAACTTGATATTATCAAATACTGTGGTTGCAACATATCTTTCCCTTTGTGGATACATGTTGGATCATATATAAGACACTATATTTTATCAATATCATTTAGAAAATTCTAAATAACAGTTAACTCATGAATGTTTGCCATCATTTAAAGATGATTTGCAAAGCAGAGTATACAGAATTATTATTACTCTTTCAATACTTGCGATTCCAGTAAGTACCAGCAGGTGACAGTAATACTTTGTATACATTAAAGCTAATATTAACCCTACCAGGCTTATTTAAAATAGTAACAAAACCTATTGGTGTACTAAAACTTACTTATTACATTGACAATGTATTACTAAATGCAGATTCATTATTTTTACATCCAAATATTTCAAGATAAAAACAACCAAAATGCAAAGTAATATCACACTTTAAAGTGAAAGCGTGAACCCTCCATAAATTCAACTATTATAAGCTGTGTCTCTTAACTTAATTGTAGTTTTAACTCCTTAGGAATTAAGCAACCATAGTGTCTGTACAAAACAAAGTGTACTGATCTGCAACTCATTTCATATTTTCTGATTTGCAGAATTCTCCAGCCTCTCTACTCATTCTGCATTATCAGAAAGAAATATATGACTGTATTGCTTTGATGATGAATAAAAGTGGTTGGTAAAGATTGCTACACTTACAGCATTTTTATGGACGTCATTAACATTCGTAATAAAATATATCTAGAGTTATATTTTATTAAAGAAAAATAGAAGATATCACAAATTGGTTTAAATGTTAAGTAGGAGTGGCTTGGGAAAGTATGTGGAAAATCATTGCTTCTCTGTCAGAGGCTAAGATCGTATAGCAGTATGGAGTTCCTAAGGATTATAGGAATCTTGCTATTTGTCATACTTTAGGAGCATCTCACTGAGTGACTCAGTTGCTAACTGTGTGTAATTGTCATAATCTTCTAGTTCTGCTTTAATCTGTATTTCTTCTCCTCATTCCTTGGTCTTCTTTTCCAGTTAATTGATTATTGATATTGAATGTCCTAACTGGAACTATTGCTCCTGACATTTTTATAGTCCTTGTTTCTAGAATAAATTGTTTTCATTAACTTGCTTTTCTGAAATTCCAAATGTTTTTTGAATACATTCACAATCATGAGAATAGTTTCAAAATGCACTGAACTTGAGCCCTCACAAATTCTTGGCAATTACAATTTGATAAGAACCCTCTAGAACGAAGAGCCTAACACAGCATTGTGACTAATGTTCTGTGTCAGAAAACTATGATGGCATTGCCTTATTAAAATTTAGAAGCCTATTTTTCAGTTTCCTCATGGCTGTCTTTACTTCTTGATTCCTCAAAGTATAAATTATTGGGTTCAGAATAGGAGTAAAGATGGTATAAAACACAGACAGGATCTTGTCTGTGAGAAAGCTGCTTAGTGGCCACATGTAGATGAAGATGCATGGCCCAAAGAACAAGAAGACAACGATGAAATGAGCTGTACAAGTAGAGAGGGCCTTAGAGGATCCTCGGGAAGAATGATGCTTCACAGTAACCAGGACAATAACATATGAATGAAATAAAACAATAAAGCAGGACAATGCAATTATGCCACTTGTTGAGATCATAAAGAGGCCCAGAACATAAGTATCCACACAAGCCAATTGGAACACCACAGGAAGGTCACAGAAAAAGCTGTCTACCTCATTGGGACCACAGAATGGTAACGTGAGGGCAAATATGACCTGACTCATTGAATGCATGATTCCCACAATCCAGGAAGCCACCACGAGAGCAACACACACCTGAGGACTAATGATTGAAGCATAGTGCAGGGGCTTGCATATTGCAATATACCTATCGAAGGACATGGCCATGAGTAAGATGATCTCGGTGCCAGTGAAAAGGTGGAGAAAGAATATCTGGGTAAGGCAGCCATCGAAAGAGATGGTTTTGTGACCTGTTAGGTAATCTGTAATCATCTTTGGGGTGGCAAAAGAAGCAAGAGACATATCAATGATTGAAAGATTGGTAAGCAGGAAATACATAGGGGAGTGTAGGTGAGGGTCCACTATAACTGTGATGACTATGAGGCTGTTACCCACCATTGTTGCCACATAAAACAATGAAAACACCATAAAGAAAAACATCTGTAGTTCCCAGGAATTACAGAGCCCCAGCAAAACAAATTCAAACATGGTAGACTTATTGGCCACATCCATTGCCTTGATTCATAGGTAGAAGCCTGTAACAAAAAAAGAGAGAGAGAGAGAAAAGTCAGATTCAATGGAAGCAAAAGATTCATTTCCAATAATCTACTTTCAGAAATTTTATCTTCTCTAAAAACCTTGACTTTTCTATCCATCCTTCTCATTTGGTATATTGTTTTGAATGAAAATTATGGAATATTAGAGCTTATAGCAAAATATTCCTTAATTCATAGGAATTGAAAAGAACACTTTCTTTTCTGATACTAAATGGCAATCCAACCAAGATAATATCATTCTGAACAGACCTCCTACCTATTTGTCTATCTATTCATCTATGTAATCCTAACGATAACAGTAAGCATTTACTTTATGCTTATAATGTGTGAAATACACATACACATATATGTTTAGTCATTTGGAATTTGTCCATAAAGACATCCTTACTGACAAAAACATATAATAATTATATCACACATAAGGGCTCCTAAGCACATTATAGTGAAGTTTCAACGGACAGTTGTAGAGCTTTTGTAAATTTCCAGAGCTGAACCATTAAAGTATTCCCAGATAAAGTTTCCTGTTTGAAACTCAAAAGAAATACATTGAAAGTCAGTTTTGCTGATATTCATCCGAGAAAGAAGACTAATTTATTACAATACAGTAATGTGGACAAAGGAAAGGCATTTAACTTCTTCTGGTCCTTTCTTTTTAATTAAAATATGAATGTGTTCCTTACAAATATTTATAATTCTATTATTTAAAAGTTTATATCCTAAAGGATATATAACAACATTTTCATGGGAAAGTACTCAAAAATCAATTTCTTTCATTTCACCTCTGTATGAATTCTTCTTCTGTAAATGTCAACATACATAAACTGTTGTATTGATCTAAGCTTCATGGAATAGGGATTAGGAAATGGGAATGGGAAGGGCAAACATTTAAAATATTTCAGCAGAACTCATTTGAAAACACTTTTACTTACCAGATCTATAGCAGAACCAGAGCTTTAGATTACTCAGTGTTAAGTAGGCTTCTGATAGAGCATAGAAGGGAATTTTAAATATAAATAAATGACCTAGTTGAATCATTAGTTGTGTACCAGCTGTGGATAAAATGGATGTTGTAGGGACTTGGGAATTGAACAAGAAATCATCTTGCAATGGGATTTATTAAACAACAAAGATGGCATTATCGAGTTCACAAAGGAAAGACGTTTCAAGAATCTTGTGGGAATTTACAATGGTTGTTTTCACCTGGACCTGAGAGATTCAGGGACTAGACATTGGGAAAGTCCTAATTTCAAAAAGCAACAGGAAATATCAAGTCAACTAATTCTGATAAGGACTCTTGGTTCTCTAATGCTATATTAGAAGCAATGGAGAACAAAATCTAAACATTTGCCTCTGCTTCAAGTAATTTAGAGTTATTTGGCAATATTAAGCACCTATAAATAAAACAATTGGTGAAAAATACCACCAAATAAACCTAGTGTTCAGTCAATTCTCAGAGACCGTGGATGAACTAGATCTTAGTTAAACAACAACAACAACAAAAAAAAACTGGTAATGTGCAGAATCAATAAAGCAAGTGTTCTTGCAGGAGACATGTCATGAACTTGACTTAGAATGAAAACTAAAATATTGATTGACAAAAGAAAAAAAATGCATGTGGAGGGAAAACAGTGCAACTTATTTGCCATGAAACAGGAGATTTAGTTAGCAGTTTAGAAGAATATGAATACCTTTCTAAAAATTTAACTTGATACAAAAGATAAGGGGTCATTTTTCATTTTAACATCATGGGCAGAATTATAATTATTTGAAAGCAGTATTGTGTAAGGATTTACTTAGATAGTTTGGAGAAGGGAGAAATTTAATACAGATCATTAAATGAAATGGATATAAGGAGATAATTTTGACTAAGTTACCAGCAATGTGAATGTGATTGTAACTAATTAAATGAGACGTCCAAGTAACTGTCATTATGAATATTTTTATTTATTGGATACTAATAATGTGATTATTCTCCTGTGCAGTCTATGTAGTAGAATAATTTTTTTTTTTTTTTTGAGACAGAGTTTCACTCTTGTCACTCAGCCTGGAGTGCAATGGCGCAATCTTGGCTCACTGCAACCTCCACCACCCGGTTCAGGTGACTCTCCTGTCTCAGCCTCCAGAGTAGCTGAGATTACAGGCATGTGCCACCATGCCCTGCTAATTATGTTTTCAGTAGAGGCGGGGTTTCACCGTGTTGGCCAGATTGGTTTCGAACTCCTGACCTCAAGTAATCAGCCCGCCTCCACCTCGCAAAGTGCTGGGATGAACAGGTGTGAGCCACCGCGCCTGGCCGACTGAATTTTAGAAAATCAAAATTGGTTACCTTTTTGTATATGGCTCATCCCTTCAGGAACCTTCACATGCTGTGGAAGGAGTGTAACCCTCACTTTATTTACCAGAACCTTGGATACGTGACTTACTTTGTTCAATGTAATGTGACTAGAAGTATCATATGCCACACATGAGCAGAAGTTTTAAAAGTCAGTGTGTGACTCCAGCACTGTTAATATATTTTAATTTTTAACACATCAGGGTCCTAGGATAAATAGAAGAAATACAAAGAAATATTGAGAGACACACATGTGTACACACACACACACACACACACGGGAGGAATACAGAATGATGAAATATTATATGTAAACATGGAGCACCAGCCAGACCCCAGCCATTTTATACACTCCACGTGAGGCACAAGATATGTCAGGAAAGCCATTCTGGAAGTTCTAGTACCAGCTGAGCTCCCAGGTACATAATGCAAGTGCGTGAGTCTTTCCTATAGGCCACAGAGTGGCACATTACATCTTTCTATTGTCAAAGTGGTTAAGCTGAGAACTACATTTCCCAGAATTCTTTTCTCCACGTCTTTCTGTATTGGAGTTGTCTAAAAATAAATTCGTTTGGAATTTGAAAACAGCCTAAAGCACCAGCCATTACTCTCTGATCTTTGTGGCTATACAGATGCAGAGGTGCCAACAGCTTCTAGCTTGTTTTGCTCTCAGCGACTTCACTCTACGTCCACCTTTTTCCCAACTTCTGAATTTGAGGATCAACAGTAGCCTCAAGCTGCCTGCCTGCAGATCCTCAGAAGTAAGAACTTCACAAAAATTTTTCTATCGGCAAAATTTTCTAAATTTTGCTCCCTTCGTGACCTCTACTTCACTGGCTAGATGGGCTTGGTTTCTCGATTGACTGGCTATTGCTGCCTCTCATTCTGCAGCTCCCTGTTTCACGTCTTTGCTTTCCTAAGTCCTTCCACATTGTTTAAGGTCTAATTCCTATGGTAAATGCCTTATCCCACAGTGCATGGTAGCTCTGCTTTCTAAGTTGAACTCTATTTCTTAACCTAAGTCAAAACTAACAATGTAGATAAAATCAGAGATGTTTTGATTTTATCCCTGACATTTCAACACGTCAATTCTATTTTCCCCTATTATCTCCCTCTCCTTAGAGGTAAATTTATATGTATATATAAATAGATATATACATATAGATATATACATATACCTATTTAAATATATATGTATAAATTTAACATATTTAAATATTCCTCCATGGAATTTTATTATTTTATATTCCTTCTGGCATTACCTCACTGTAGCATCATCTAGAGCAGGTGTTCAATCTGCTAGAATTTTGCTGCCTGATAGAAATGTTTACCATACGATAGTTGATAAGTGGTATCTCAATGAATTTCAACATGTATTCATATAAAAAGAGTTTGAGCATCTTTTATACAGATAATAGCTATTTGCACTTTTTTCCCATATTATGCAGGGTTCTTGGTCTTTTTAATTCTCTAATTTGGTAGTTTTTTATGTGTTGATATACCAATGCTTTGTTTTTTATCTCTTAGTGCAAATGAGGAAATTGAGATTTATTATAATGTGGTGATGTACTCAGTATAATATAATAAAGTATTTTACTGTGATGTAAACTCAGGCCTCCAAATCTGAGATTCAATGTTCTTTTTATTACACTAGAGGCATATAATGCAGTTTCATCAAGCTACTTCTTTTCACCTTATGAATACAAGCTCTGTGAAATGTAAATATTCAAAACATTTTTGTTAATAGAGAAATATTTAAGTATGGATGGCGTTTAAATTTTATTGTTATTCTGATTTTTAAGAGATATTAAAATTTTTGATGATCACTTCACATTCTTTACATAGTTAGAATTTATAAACCAGAATTTTTTCACTTTTCAGTTTTTTCTTCCAATACTCCATAATGACTCAAGTGAATAGTACAAAATTGAAATTCTTGAACATTCATTTTATAATTTTCTGTATCAGTTTTTTTCCAGATGGGGAGACACAGGCCTTATACTCATTTATTAATGGAGGAACTGAGAGATAATGTAGCAGGACCAGCCACAGACAAAACCTCTCAGATACCTAGTTGTGGAAGGAAGGGCTTTATTCAGCTGGGAACGTTGGCAAGCTACTGCCTTAAAGTTCGAGCTCCCCAAGTGCACAATTTCTGGTCCTTTTAAGGGCTCACAACACTAAAGATTTCACATGAAAGGGTCGTGATTGATTTGAGCAAGCAGGGGGTATGTGACAGGGGCTGCATGCACCAGTGGTCAGAGAGAAACAGAACAGGGCACAGAGTTTCACAATGTTCTTCTATACAATGTCTGGAATCTATGAATAACATCAGTTTCTAAGTTGTGAGTTGATTTTTAACTACTGGGTTTAGGCCAGGCAGGCCCAGGCCTGGTTTTGGGCCTGGCGCTGGGCTGCCTGTCTTTGGTTTTACTTCTTTGTTTTTTCTTAAAACAGGTACTGAGTATAAAACAATATAAAGGAGAGGGTCTCTCTCTTTCCTCAATAACACTTGTAGCCTCATAAGTCAAATAATAGATACTATTTGTCTTGTCTTTGCTGTGGTCCAAGATACACGTTATTCTTTATATTTTCCCAGCCAATCACATCCATACCCTGTACGTGAAACATTTATGAGCAATCATGCAT